CCTAGATCGTATGGAATACATTAGTCTAATAAGTCTCCTTTTAATATATATTCATCCATTGCTTCTGTTCTTCTAGAAAACTCTAATACAGCTGAGTAGCTAAAGGGCCCCCAAATCCTCCTGTCCAACTTCCCATACACCATCAAGCCTGGCTTTTTACAAACACAGCTTCTAGGGATGGAACTCAAGCCCTGGGCAAGACACTTTACCAAGGGAGTTGTCTCCCTAGCCTCTTGTTTAGATTTTTTTGAGACAAGGTCTCCTAGTATAGCCCAGGCTAACCTGGAGCTTGTGTCTCTCTTCTTCGGCCTGCCAAGTGCTGGGGTTATGGGTCCATGGTGACCCATGTGCTACAGGTCCCATCTGAAGTCCTCTTTGATCTATGTTAGATTGGCTTAGAGCCCATCCAGGTCCCAGATAAGTTTATGAGGTCGAGCTGTAGGACTCAAGCTTGCTAGTCAGGATTCTGCATCTCTTTTCCTGGTTCTGCTATATTCCAGACCCAGCACAGGGACCTGGTCTTCATGTTCCTTTCCTGAGATAGAAACCCTTGTTTGATGGATATTAGGTCCGATTGTCCCTCCCCTAGCAGACCATGGCCCCTGCTCTTTCTGCTTTTTCTCTTAGCTTATTTCCCTCCTGGCAGAATCTAACACATCTCCTGCCCTATCCTGGTGGCTCGGTCCCTTGGGTGAACTGCCTCCACCTGCACACATCTACCCGCTACACCTCACTTGTCCTTCTTGCCTCCCCCACTTCCATCTGGTGGCTCTGAGAGAGCAAGTTGAGTTACATGCAGTTGGAGGACAGGGGGAATGCAAACCACCATCTGGAGATTCAGCTACACGAGCCGACTCATCAGGAACAGCAAGGCAGCATATACTTAAGGAGGTTCTGCCAGTGGCTCTGGAGGAGTTGTGTGGGTGTGGGGAGGGGGAAGACAGATGGATGCGTGGGCAGCAGGGGCAGGGCTTGATCAGGAACCTCCAGATTTGCACGCTGGCATTATCTTCTACTGGGCTTGTTGCTTAGTGGGTAGCTGTGTCCTCTGGGGGGCAGGGAGCTCTGGGGACAGGGTAGGCATCAGCCCACTAGTCAGAGAAAAAGATTTGTAGGGGAGAGGAGTGGTTTACAGGTTGAGGGAGATTCAAGAGGGTGAGTTGTAGGAGGGTATGCATTGTGAAATTGTGAAAGAGCAAATTAAAAAAAAAAAAGAGAGAAGACTCTATCTGCCTTTTGCCTGGCTCTGCCACTTTGCAGCCCAGGCAACCCTGTCCCCACTGCCCCAGGCCCAACAGCAGCAGGTTATGTTGCTTCCCATAAAGTATAGTCTATAGCAATGGAATGGCCAGTCTGGGTGATTGGGGAAGGGTTAAGAGAAACAAGGCAGACAAGGTTGGGGAGCAGGAGAGAGGCCCACAAAAGGCAGAGTGGGCAGGGCCTGGGCTGAGCCAGTGCTGGGGAGGAAGGAGTGCAGCTGGCCTAGGATTATAAGCCCCAGCAAGCTGGCACACAAGGCTCTCCTAGTTCATACAGTAACAGGTTTCCTTCCAGCATCTCAGACATCCTTAGTTTTGGATGACCTATCCTGTCCTCACAAGCATTCTGAGGCTGTGCTTCATGCAGGCAGCTTTAATGCTCTCTGAGGCTCCCCAAAGAAGCTCAGGAAGAGGCTGCTACCTGTTACTTTCCCCCCCACCCTGTTTGATGAAGGACTCACAAACCAAATCACAGAAACTACAGAGATTCTGAAAACTGCCCCTTCCTTGCGTTGAAGAATTGCCTGCAGTGCTTTGCAGGCAGTGTATCTTCCACTCTTTTTTTTTTTTTTTTTTTTTTTTTTTTTTTTTTTTTTTTTTTTTTTTGGTTTTTCGAGACAGG